TTCAGCAGGCAAAAATACATCAAAAATGACTATATTTATACTTATATTCCATAATAATTGACAGTGATATCATTTAACTTTTATATTAAACTCAAATTTTTCAAACTTACGGTTAGTATAACATGAAAATTACATCTAAGATTAATTTTTTATTTATGCATTATCAGCATCGCATTATCAGCATCGCAAATTAATGAGAATTATTTTGGTGCAGGATACAATTCTAGGATAATTTCTATATAATTTGATTGTGTGACAGCGATTAGCAATTATACATTACATTTATCTTCATAATGTCCCAATCGCTGAGGCGTTCTCTCTGGCCGATTTTTGCCTTTGGATCCTGAAAATATTCAACAATAAGATCTCAATGTTACTACAAAAATTATTTTTATTTATACGTAATAATATTGTTATACGTAATAAGATTGTTCACAAGTTCTGTATTTTTAGCTTAAAATTGTATATACAATATTTTCGTCAAAAATAAACGAAATTTAAATTTAAAAAAGGGTTTTAAAGCTTGAAATCTTTACTTTCAAAAGGTTATTATAATTTTTGAGTTTATGTGAACTTGATAATTTTTACCAAAAAGAACTACGAGTCTAAAAAAGGGAAATTCTTCTTATTTCATAAGTCTGCCATGTGCCAAAAAAATTGTGAAATTTACGACTATCTATCTTAAAGTTTTCCCTACACAAAATTATTTTTAAAAAATCTTCCTACGATATTTTGTTCTTGAGTCTAATAATTAAAGTATTTCGATAATGAAATTAATGACAGACATACGCTAGTCGTAATACTATAAATGTTTATAAAAATAATACTTACTTTTAAGGGGATAATAGTTTTTGTGTGATTGAGTACGGCATCCGCGTACGCTGAAGAATGCATTATGCTGTCATAATCATAAGGGATATCAAAATCACTCCACTCCAGCTCAGCTTTTTTGAACTTCCCTTTGGCATCTGAGAATGCATACGATAAAAAAAAGCTTATAACATAAATCAATAAAATAATTTTAATCAATTATTACAAGCATTTACTATAAACAAGGTGTTATTTTTACACAAGAGGTTGCTGTTTAATGTTAAAATATTAATAATTATTGAACAATGAAAGAAAATTCTCATGTGAAGCGATATATAAACTACAGAGCTATAAGTATATAGATAAAATATAGCGACTTGAAACATATCTAGATATTTTAAACGATAAATTAATTGCAAAGTTATAGCTGCATTAAGAATTATATACTTAGATTAAATACTTTTATTTAAAAAAATTAATCCTTTTAAACTTTTTGTTATTTAAATAAATACCTTCTTGAATATTTTCCCAATTGATTTTCACATAATTATCTCGGTTTGATCTGGTATGCTCGTGAGAAAAGCCAGCAGTATGCATAAATTGATGCATGATAACACCTTTTCCTAAACATTCAGGAATCTGCAAATTCATTTGTTGTTCACCGCCTTTTCTGCCAATCTCGCTCCAGCATCCAGAATAATCGCTACTGAGTTTGACATAGTTTTCTTCGTTAGTCCTATCTTTAATTTCCATGCATGTATACTTTTTAAATTCATTTATTGCTTGACGTATACGTTCATGTCCTTCTTCATCTGTAATGTGTGTGAACAAAAATAAAATAAGAATTTTACACACAGTGATAACCCGGGAAAAAATGTTTTATAGTATTATATAAAACATTTTTTTTCCGGAACTCAATTCAATTGGCTCAATTTTCTTAGAGTGAGATTTCACTCTAAAGAAGATTAGTGATTCGAGATTAGTGTATTATGAAACATAATTGATTTTAAAGAATATATTATAAAATGTTGTTGAATTTTTAATTTTGAAGATACTTACCGAAATCGCCATCGACTACGATAGGAATAACGCCATTAGACCAACGCCAATCAGTAGACTCATTAGTCAGTACATTTCTTTTAATGTTATTTGCGGCCATGATATCTCCTTCAAAGTAGTTACCCAATTCGTCAGGGTTTACGTTCATATTTTCGCTCCATTGCGCAGTCCTTAGTCCTGTTTCATTATTCGGAATCATGTCTAACCCTCTATTGCCTTCCTCACTACAATTCTCTCCATGAGAGACTGCTCCCTTTGACGTGATGGCAATAAGTATCCATGCGAAAGTAACTAACATGATAGACATTCAATCAAATTATAAGAAGTTACCCTTTTCTATGGTCTTGACGACGAAAGCAAATGCAATAACAAAATATTCGGAATGTTTCCCTCTTTATATACTCCATCGCAAAGTGTTTTCACACTTTACTTACTCGCATAATCTTATCACTTTGTGAACTAAACAGCGCTTTTGGCGAGAATAATATTACTCATAAGTAATTATGTATTACTCATAAATAATTAGGATAACACTGTACGTATACCGTGGTATATACGTCGTATCTACCGGAAACTTTATCTAGTATAACTATTTATACTGTGTTTACAGTAAAAATATTAATAAAAATTTTATATTATTTCCACTATAAAAAGATTAGAAATGTGGAATGTTTGTTTAATTATAATAAAAAATTTTTTATATCTCTTATACTTTTTTACCGTATATTCCATAGAGAGTACGGTGCATGAAAAATTCACAAATGATGCTTAGAAATAAGACGTAAAATTATAGTATACAATATCTTATATTATGGTATTTACAAAATTTCATAATATGAATAAGGATGATAAATATATAGAGAAGGTAGTATTATAGCACTCCAGTTACATTTCACGCAATAACTTTGTTAATAATCAATATTTAAGTTTAAAACTTGACAATTACATTCATTAAAATGTTATTGAATCGATTCTGGACTCAAAGTTACGAAATATTTATTGCTTAGGATACTATTAATAAAAATGTGGCGATATTGGGTAATGACTCTAAGAAAAAAATGGGTGGTAATATGGCCTTTCATAAAATAGCCTTAAAATAGTTTTGTTTAGAAACAGTATTTGGTTACAAAATGAACAAAAAAGAAAATCATTTTAAAATATATGCAAATGAATGTATATACATTCACTTTTGCATATAAGCTGCTCAGTACTAAAAATAGTAAACGTAATATAAACTATATATTAACAGTAGAGTTACAATCGATTATCAAATAATTATTTTAATATGAAAATCTCAAAAAAGAGGTCGTGAGTAATCAATATCCATAGAAGGCCACATCAGCAAAATGCCATGGTATTGTTGAATAACTCAAAATATATATAGTCAAATAAAATATTAAATAGCAAATAACACTCAAAAATATATATATTCGTGTGATAATATCAACTTTAAGAAAAATAAGGGGAAGTAGGTGTAATTAAATGTTAAAGTGTACCTCAGAAACGTTTCGAAATACTTAAAAGTAAAAATGCGTTATAATAAGTGCTGGCTATTGAGTATTTGCGTCATGATGTAACGGCGAGCTACTGAACTAATAATTCCATAAGTAATCATTAAGATTCGCTATATAATAGCAGAGATATTAAGGAAGGCCACAATATATACACTAGTCATAATACCACCTTCTCCTCTATATATATGAAATAATAGACAATCATTATAACAATTTTTACATACATTATAAGGGTAATAACATTTTTCTACTAGAAGTACATGTTTCTACTTTTGTACTTAAATAATCAGATCATACTAGATGAAAAAGCGATACGATATTTTCAAATTATTATATCTCAAAAACAAGAAATTATCGAGTAACGTTTTACAAATGTTCTAAAAATAAGTATGCATATTCATAATGCTATAATATCTTATATATTATTGCAAAATTACAATTTTGTTTCTATAGGCTTTTTTTTAAGATATTTTCCCGGAATCCGATCGGATATCCGGAAAATGTCGGATATCCGACTCGAAGAAATTGCTTTCTCGGATATCTGACCAGATACCGGATATCCGATATCCGGTATTCGGTAATTTTACGATCTGGTGCATCCCTAAAAATAACTTTCGATTGTAGATCGCTGGCGGGCCTGTACATGCTTATAGATATTGATATGTACATTAAGGTTCATTACCACCAGGATTTTTAGATTATTTATCTATCGGAAGTTTTATGTTTAGATATACGTGCATCCTAATTTATTTCATAGATTCTAGCTATATTTTCATTTATAAAAATAATATATATAACTTTAAAATAACCTGACGGAAAAAACTTTTATGAAAAAGTACAGAAAAACTATAGAATATATAGATTGAGAAAATCTTAGAAATTCTTAATTTTTCGTAGATATTTGTAGTGGGACGTAGAGTGGAGTTGTTTGTTTCATAATACAAGATACGAAAAAATGTTCCGTTAAAACGGTTCCGTAAATACAGCGTCAAAAGATACGGAAAGAGCGAAGAATTTCTTGGTTTTTCAAACAATGTCCCTACGAATATTTACGAAAAATAGAAACTAATGTAAGAATCATCTAAGATCTTGTCTCAATCTATGTTGTTTTTCGCAAAAGTTTTTCCACCAGGAATATTAAACGTACACAATTAAAAATATATATGTGATGATATTTCAATTATTAATAATAAAATTGTATACTTTTAATCAATAAATACATTTTTTCTATATAAAACAAATAATATATATAAAATTGTATGATATTTAATAATTATATATAATATCTATATATATATGATCTTATTAATTACTAATTTATATAAACATTTAAGTATATATAACAAATTATTCTATATAAAGTATGTATATTATAATTATATATAATTATATGTAAAACATTTTTTCCAGGGTAGCTGTTTCTAATTTTCAAAAATTCTTTTTTTAAGGAAAAACAATGACATCATAGTTTATAATTGTAGGCATTATTATAGCACCCATTCCATTGCGAAACACAATGCGTCCTTGTATTATAATTTTTCTAATAACCCTATACTTACAAAAAAAATTCCTTTTTTTTTAAATAGATAACTTTCTCTTCTTGCAAAGGATATTAAAAAAAAACAATGATATATAAAACGTGAATTTTTTATGTAAAATTAAAAAAAGCATACTAGAATTTGAATAATTTTCTTGTCTCCATATATTATGTATGTAACAGTCGATTTTGTTCTGTATAATATTAATTATATATTATGCTCATTGTTAGTATCAAAGATATTTACTAAAATTACTAAATTACTATTACTTATCGATAGGAATAATGCAAACGGCGAGATTTATCTTCTTCAAACATCTTCGTTTCTTTTGAAACTAATTTTTATGATCATTATCTCTTTCCAAGTAGTCGCTCAATTCCTTAGGATTCATATTAACTTCCTTGATCCATTGCATTACCTTGTTTCTTGATCCTTGTTTCCTTGTTTGGAATCATGTTGTGCCAATTTTGATGGTACATTCCTTTATATAAAGGACCGTTTCTGCTAATACAAATATTATCAAGACGAGAAGCTTCTAAGTGAGAATAATTAATCGATACAATATGATAGATACTAAATGAAATTCCAAAAAGTTATTGTTTTATCTATGGTCCTATGGCAATGAAAGCAAATGCAGTAATACTATATTCCCTTGGTACTTATACATTTCATTGCAAAAGTTTTTGCATCCCACTTCCGCATAATCTTATCGATATTTCTAGGAAACTAATTTTGGCTGGAATACCATAAATTATATGTGATGGTCAGGGTTGAATAAGTTAACTTTTTTTTTAATTAACAAGGAGAGGCTACGCTCTGTTCTTCACCGATTTTAATCAAACTTGCAGCGATGTTAGAAGAGCCTATCAAACGAACACCTGTAAAGCCGTTCGCGCCAATGGGCCTTAGAAGCCGAGTAATGATCATTCAAAAATATACCAAAAATCTGAAAACGGTCTAATATCTCGGAAAGTATGCATTTCTGAGAAAAATGTCTTAGACAAAAGTGATAGGGTTTAATAAGATGTATATACTAGTCTTATAGATTTGAACTTAGGCGGCACTGTCAAGGTCAAGTCAAGGTCACGGTGCCCCCAAGTTCAAATCTATAAGACTAGTATATACATCTTATTAAACCCTATCACTTTTGTCTAAGACATTTTTCTCAGAAATGCATACTTTCCGAGATATTAGACCGTTTTCAGATTTTTGGTATATTTTTAAATGATCATTACTCGGCTTCTAAGGCCCATTGGCGCGAACGGCTTTACAGGTGTTCGTTTGATAGGCTCTTCTAACATCGCTGCAAGTTTGATCAAAATCGGTGAAGGGCAGAGCGTAGCCTCTCCTTGCAAGTTAAGTTAAAGTTAACAGCCTTGAAAATTTATTTTAATTAAAATACAAGTTAATCCATAATGAAATTAATTGAATTAAAAGTTAATAGTTACCGATAAAAAATTAAGTTAAAAAGTTAAGAGTCTAAAATGTAACTTAAGTTAAGTTAAAATTAATTAACTTTTTAATTTTTTAATTTTTAACTTTTATCTTTTTAATTTAGCACTACCCAATTCTGGTAATGGTCATATATCTTTCCTCAACAATTATATATAATTGACAAATAATTATTTTTTTTATTTATGTATTTGCTTCTGACAAAAATGATAAACAAAAAAGTATTTAACTTAAAAATTAATAAACGAATTGATTACACATATACAATTAAACATAAACTCTACGATATTATATTTAATAGCTCATAATTATAAGCATTGTTAAAAACATAATTGTATATCTTTAATCAATAAATACAATTTTTTTATATAAAATGATTGATAATAATAAATTACAAATTATATATATATAAAATCGTAAAAATAAACAATATAAATAAAATTGTGTATTATCCACACCTAATATGCACAAAAACACGAAATGTGCATAGAAGAAAGGACTATTCTTAAATCAACCATATGTTCATATACAGGGTGTCCCAAATTTAAATGTCAAAACTTTGGGAGTATGTAGAGGATCGAGAAATTAAGAAAGAAAGTCCTTTAAAGATGCTCGTTTTTGCTTCGTTTTGGAGAAAATCGCAAATAAGGACAAAATGTAATTTTCATTTTTGTACTTATTTATTATACTTATTCATTCACATTTATTTATTCACGTTATCACAACAGCTGCCGTAATTCATTCATCAGTACGGATCTCTGATAGAATAGCCAATTAAGTCTTTATTTTACTTGCACAGTTATACATTTTGTTAATTTTCTGATAGTCTGACTCGCTAAGTCTATCTCTCTGACCGATACTAGCTAATGGATTCTGAAAATTTCAACAATAAAATCATTAATATTACTACAAAGATTGTTTTAACAGACAAACGCACAAAAGATACACATAATTTGATGCAGCGTGTAATTTGCAAATATGTAAAAGTTTTTCTATATTAAATTGGCAAATCGATATCTCGAATTTATTTCTGTTTAATAATATAACTAACAATAAATCCTATAAAGATTATTTATAAAAAATAATTATCACTTACTTTGGGAATGATAGTTCTTATAATAGGGTTTTTGGCAAATGCGTACGCTGAATAATGCATCACGCTGCCGTAATCATAAGAGATGCCGTAATCTTGGACGACGTTCGGGGAAAGTTTGACGAAATTATCCGTTTTTGCTAAACACACAAAATAAAGATAATTTATAATGTAAATGTGCAGAATATTTTCATTCAATTATTACAGCGTTTAGAATAAATTGTTATATTTACGAACAGTCGTTCATTGTTTTAATGTTAATAATTAATAATTCTTAAGTGAGAGAGAGAGAGAGAGAGAGAGAGATAAAAGACAGAAAATTCCTAGAACTTTTCATGAATCAATCTGCAAATAGATGAAAAACTTTCTGGTTTGAAAAATGGCACATCATTTTGTTGATATAATAATACTATAAAATTAGTTAATATTAAATATTAATAAATGACAATGCAAGATATTTGCATGCAATCTTTGAAATATTTATTTAAGAAAGTTAATTGAATCCTTATTTTAAATCTCTTATTGTTAAATTATAAATATACGCACATTCTGCAATATTATTCCAGTTGATAGTCACATAATCATCTCGATCATCTCTAGTGTGCTCATGCCAAAAGCCAACAGCGTGCATGATCTCATGTATTACGGTACCCTTTTTCTTTACACAACCAGGAGTTTGTAAGTTTATTGATTGCCCACCGCCAATCTTGCCAACATAGCTCCAGCATCCAGTATTATAACTAACAAATTTGACATAATCCTCTTCGTCCGTTCTTGGTTTAAGCTGGATACATGTATACTTCTCATACTCCTTTATAGCTTCATGTATAAGATTCAATTGATCGTAATCTACGATACAAAATTTATCAACGTAAATAATAAAAATAAAACAATTTTGCACACGATAAGAACGTTTATCATTCCCAGATGACTATTTCTGTTTACATTTAAATTTTTATTTATATTTTGCCATCATAAAATAATTTAATAATGATAAATGCATTATTACCTTATTTTATTTTAATATATTGCTAAAAATGGGATAATTGATAGATATATTCTGAAAATAAATTAATGTCTGCAACATGTTTTAATTTTTAATGCTGGATATTTTGAAATGTAACATATCATAAGTTAAATTAACAACATCAAATACACAAACAAAAAGAGGGATCTTTTATTTTATTCTAAGAAATATTATATTTTATAATATAATTTTTTATTATATACATTGAAATAAAAAAATAGATATAATATCTTTGTATAATATTTATGTTTTTATAAAATATTGTATCCATAAAAGACTGCACATTGTGCATAATCTAGTAATACTACTAATGATACTACAAATGTACTCTTTATTTTATATTCTATTTACTGATATAAATGATTTGATAAAAGATTAACACCTGTTAAATTGGATCTTTTTCATATAATTAGATATGACATATTGTGGAATAATTAGTTTGATGAAACAAATTGATCGCTAGAATGGCTGAATTTTCAAAATCCTTACCGAAGTTACCCATGATTACGTAAGGAATAACGCCATTAGACCAATGAAGACTTTCATCTTTCGCACCGTTTAGTGTGACGCCTTTTGCGATCATGATGTCTCCTTCCAAATAGTTGCCCAATTCTTCAGGATTTACGTTCATATTTACGGTCCATTGTGATATTTTAACTCCCGTTTCGTTGTCCGGAATTGTCAGGGCCACTTGTAAGGTATCCTCTACGTCAGAGATTGGTATCGCCGACACAAATGTTGTAAGAACGACAATCGTCCACGCTGACGGTAGACCCAACATGATCAACGTTAAATCAGTAAGTGACTGATTTAACTATGTATGATGACGAAAGCGAATACAGTAATAGAGAGTTTTATTCGTTTCCCTTTTTATATATTCCCTTTTTATCTAAAAAATTTCCTGCCCCTCCTATTTAATTTCAGGCCAATAAATATCGTAAATGATGCCAATCACAGATCAAAGATGCCATTCGCAAACTTGCTGATGATAACGATCAATCTTCCTTTGATTCACATATAGCATTTAATTGAACGATCTTATCGTATTTAGTACAATATATTTTGTTCTTGATTTTTTTGAGATAGATCTTTATCAATGAATATACATATGATATCTGTAAGTGTTTGATATTTATAATGAGTATAATTCACAGTTACATTTTTATCACGATTAATTATAGTATTATAAAATAAAAACTTGTATAGTAAACAAAAAAGTACAAGAAAAGTTTTTAATATAAAACGAAGAGTTTGTTATATGTACGGTAAAATAAATGCAAATTTTTAATATTCTTTTATTATAATATCTTAAACAATTTGAGAAGTTTGAACAAGTGAATAAGATAAGTTTGCGTCTAATTATATTTGTATTATCTAAAACGCGCATAAAAAATCGGACATTGACATTATTTTTTCTTAGAAAATGATATTTTTATGATACAATTATCTTTAATATTATCTCAGCAAATTTCTTGCTAGATTTATTTTTGTAGAAATATGGATAAATATGTCACTCGAACGATTACCATATTCATCTATATTTCAAATACTCATTAAAAGTAATCGCATTAACTTTTAATATATAACTTTTAATGAGTATTTAAAATATAGATGAATATGACAGTCATTCGATTGCCATATTTATCTATACTTCTACAAAAATAAATCTAGCAAGAAATTTTGTTATTATACTGTAAAAATACATTTAAAATAATATATCTATAATAAATATTTTATCGCGATATAGCTCATCTATTTTAATATATTTTATCAGTAGGAATTACATAATGTTTTCTTTATCAATCGATAATGTCCAGTATATTTTCTCTACTTTTATTCATGAACTTTGATATTTCATCAATATTTGATTAATAAAGGAGGATTAAAAAATTCAATAAGAGAGGGTGATGCATTTGTATATTATAATATGTAACTTATAAGATAGATACACATTCATAATATTAAAATATATGATAATAATTATATTAACATATAGTATAATAATACTGTTTATACTAATTATTCACATATCGTCTTTAAAAAAATAATCGTATCCTTTGCACATAAGACTAGATGCTCTTTTCTTTTTTTTAGGGGAAGATTCTTATTAGGTAATTAATTCTCTAAAATCAAACATTTCTTTTTTTTGTGTTAACACGTGCGAAGACGTTGCTTAATATTCATTCATCAGTACTGATAGTCATCGTAGTTAACTATGCCAGTACGTTTGCCGCATCTGTACATCCTCCTGATTTTCAGAATGTCCTTCTTGCTAAAGCCCTCCCTCTGACCGAGCTTTACCTCGCTGTTTCCTTGGAATATTCCGCCAATAATATCCAATATTCCACCGTTCAGTTGTCTCTACGGACACATACAAACACATAAATACGTATATAATATACAATACAATTCAATATAGTTTTTATGATTCGCAAATTCGCAAAATGTACTTTCTTTTCTATTATACTGGTAAATTCGGTAACTCCAGTCTGTGTAAGCTCCGTCCAGTGATCAAACTATTCATGTACCTAATATAATTAATGATAAAGCATTGACATAGACAACACATATGTTTATAGAGATCGCCTACCTTGGGCACGATGGTTTTCAATTGATAGTTTTTGGAGAACGCTGTCGACGAGTAGTGCATCACGCTATCGTAATCGTAACCGATTCCGAAGGCATAGGTGATCTCCGGGGTAGCCTTGTTAAAATTGTACGCGTGACCTACATACATAACGCACGTGATAAAAATAGAATTTCATAAAAATAAAATTTCATGCAGAAGAGATAACCCCGGCCGGTTATTAGGTCGATGACTTTTCATGCGCAACACACTGCGACAGCAAAATGTCATGTGATTTAAATTTTCGAGAACTGATTGGAATTGGTATTACCTCACAAAAAATTTTTAACCAATAATAGCATTTTGCTGTCGCAATATGCTGCGCATAAAAAGTCAGCTTAAAATTTTACGATACAAAGAATCGCTCATATTTAATATTGAAGGCATTAGTACTAAATTCTCATAACCCAAGCAATAAAGTGGCATTTTAATGACATCTTGCTGACGTTAAGACGTCACCTTACTATAGAAAACGATAGAAAATATTTCATAAATCATACAAGTAAAAAAACATTGCCAAATAAAAAGCATGTTATTTAAGTTAATAAGTCAGTTAATACTAAATAATACTAAATACTTTTAATATTAATATTATATAAGTAGACAAAACGGTTTTCAGTTGTATCTTCATTAGAAATAATCACTTTTCAAGATGATTTAGCTTTAAAATATAATAGATAAGATATAAAAAACCATGCGAGAAAATATGTCCAAAGAACGTTAGATCTCATGATTATATATTTTTTTTAGACAGTTTTATTGTTTGTGAGTGGGATGCGAGTACACACCGTCCGAAATATTGTCCCACAAAATATTCACGTAATCGTCCCGCTCGTATCTGCTGTGCTCGTGCAAAAAGCCAACGGCGTGCATCAGCTCGTGTATCACCGTGCCCTTCTGCGTCAGGCAACCGGGAACCTGAAGGTTTATGTCCTGCCGGCCGCCAATCCTACCCACGCTGCTCCAGCATCCGGTGTTACCGGCTGTGATTCTGACGTAATCGCTTTCCTCTCCCGTGTACGGCTTAAATCTGATGCACGTGTACTTGTGATAGTCGTCCATTGCGTCGTATATAACTTTCTGCTGCTGTGCGTCTGCAATACGAATGAAAAGACAAAAATATAGCGGTCTTAAGTGATAAAGGAGAGAGCTTTCAAGAATTTTGCTCAGATGAATATTTAAATACTCAACACAGCAAACACCAACCTAAGGAATTCTTAAAAATCAATTTAAAAAATGACTTAATTTTGATTCTTAACGTTAAACAGTCCAATTTTGTAACAAAAAAATCATCATTTTGACTTTAAGTGAAATCAAAATAAGTCATTTCGACTTTTTTTTAACTTACCTAGTATGTTTTTTGGAAACTGTTAATTACATTTTTTTATATAACTGTCATAGTACATTATATTATAAATATTGTTAAGTGGGAAATTATAATTAACATAACTTATGTTATTTTATACTTACATAACTTAATTTCTCATTTAATATAATATAACATAATTAACTTAGTACACACATAATGATTTTCCGGTCCTTTATTACACATGATGAGTCATTCATGTTCGGGATTAATTTTCATCATTTTAACAACTATACAAAAATTATTTAGTGATTCTCACATATGCTTTAACATCTTTAGAAAATATTTGGAAGAGTGTGTATTTCAAAAAATTGTATATAAATGTTATAATTAAAAGAATCAGGAAAGAGCATAGGCAATAGGAATTAAAACGCGGAAGACGTTGCGCAAATAATACGACTATGAAGCGTAAAAAACTTCTTTATTTGATAAACGCGCTTACATGTTTCGGTTCATTTTCGAGTCTTCTTCAGAGACAACATACATTCACGTATATAAAAAGTAACAAAGATTAATTTGTCATGGTGAGCTCCCCCGTATCGAGAATATAATTATCAATTTGAACTCAGATAAAAATAAAAGAAAGAAAAAAGAAAAACGAAAAGAAATTTTTAAACATATCAAATTAGAGAGAATGGAAAACTAATGTATCGGAAAACTTTAAAATGAAGTTAATTATCCCAGAAATGTTATAATTAATTCCTTGATGCTCTTAGCTTTTTGAAAAAAAAAAAAAAAAGACCGTGCAGGACACGAATGATCCAATTGTGTGTACTAAGGATTAACTGGCGTCAGTTAGCGTTCACTAGAAATTATTTTGAATGTTCAATTAATACTCGACATTTTCAAACGAAATAATGAAATAACTTAATAATAATAAGTACGTTATGACTTTGATATGAGATACGCGCTGCAAAACGCGCAATTTCTAAAAGACAAATAAAGGGAACTGCCGTGTATGGTTCTCGTAGTTACTCACTGAAATAAGGGCTAATTATGAAGGGAATGACGCCGTTGGGCCACCGGGCAGAGACCGCTGCAAGACCGTTTCTTCCGACGTTCGACGGAAACAGGATGTCTCCTTCCACGTATTCGCCTAACTCCTCCGGATTTACATCCATGTCCTCGCGCCACTGTGCCACCTTCAATCCGGTTTCATTGCTAGGGAATCTATAGAGTGAACTGCCAAAACTCCGCAGATGAGCGATCAATCCGCCGGGACTGTCCACGGCGTTGTCGAAGATATCCCGACGACGAAAGCTCGGCCATGCGAACGTCAACGATGTCAGGACGAAAAGCGTCCACGTGAGAGTGGCTAATAGTCCATACGGCATGATCGATATTCAATTGGATCAAGTAAGAGATACCACCGAATACGAAGACTAGATACCTTTAGATACCTTTACAGTCACGCGACAACAAGCGCGAATGATACGTAACCACTCAGGTCGTTCCCGTTTTTATATACGCCACGTGGAAAAAAATCTGTGCCCCACCCGCACGGATGTACTCGTTGTAAGAAACAGCTCCGGAAGTGATCGGGGCCATCCGTTGATAACCGTGGACTTTGGGTGATGCCAAGCTCAGATTTGCCGTTGGTATCTCTCTGATACCTCGAAGGTGCGACACCAAGACCCCGAGGACGCTATTATGAGTCATTAATCCTTCCGACATGACGATTACTTTAGAGGAGGCCGAATTTATAATACTTTCGCAATTTTGATGACATATGGATCAATCGTTATTGATATTGTAATCCAGAGAAGTTAACATTCTAATTTAGGAGATACTGAGAGGAAATATTTTCTCACTGAGAAACGTAATTATTTCAATTTTAAAATACTTACTTATAATTATCAATCAATTTGAAAGTATTTAATTAAGAATCGATTTAAGCATTAAGAAAATTCTGTAAAATATTTTCTATGTTTTTTAGCTTAAAATAAATTTTATAAATTGTAGAGAATAAATTTTGATTGGTGTCTTAGGATATCTATATTTTATTTGCATATACCAAGGAATAAGAAATAAACAATTTTAGAAGGTTTCCGAGATGTTTCCGCGGAAGTGAGGAAGCGCAGATTCCGTTTAGGTGGTCATTGCCACTTGATGCGTCAAGTACGTCTGCATAATGGGAGAACGGCATTATTAGCACATAAAACGGCGGGATTTATATCCCGACACGAAGTCATTCACATGCAAATCTTGCCAGACAAACATTTGTCATCGGAGAACCTCGGTGTATGACAGCAATTAAATAACCAAGGACGACATTTTTGTCACCCGTTTCGATATTATACTGATCATTACGATACATTATATTACTTAAAACATTCATTTAATTTAAGAAAAGTAACTTGAATAAAACGCTTGAGATATTTTAAGTGTTTACATTCTTTAAATGTTTATGAAAAGTTACTTGTGTGAAGCGTAGATGCGCAAAGTATTTCAAGTGGCTCATTAAAATGAACCCAGAAGTAACTTTAGAAAAATATCGTAGAGAATAAATGGGATTTCGAGAAAAAAATGTTTCATATATAATTATATATAATTATAATATAAAAAATTGACATATTGTATATATAATACAATTATATATATAATTATATATAAAATATGTCCATATAACATTTTTTCCCGGGCTATATATAGACTTTTTGTTTATACGTGTGTTTACAAAACATTCTATTTCTTATCTCAGTCTTCACAGGACTGAGCATGTATTTGGAATAGTTTTATTTAAAACATAGTATTGCAGTTCAAATATATTTTGTATTTTATATTTCAGCGGAGCACATGAAGTATTATGTATTTAAAATTGAAAGCTCGAAAGTTTTTATATTTTGTTAATTCGAGAGAGAATAATAAGATTGATTGTCAATCTTAGTATTTGAAATTCAAAATAAAAAAACTTTAATATACTCTCTATATGAAATACAAAATACGATCGTCTTACAAATACTGTTTCCCAAATAAAAGTATTTCAAATGTATATCCAGATCTGAGTTTTCATAAATTTTTCCAATCAGAATCCAAAAATTTTTTTAGGAATCCAATTGGATTTAGATTAGATCTTAAAAAGGGATCTCTCTTGTAACATTCGTGATGGACAAAGTTTTTATATGTGATACAGCGAAAAGACGTTGATACCGTTGGGTTTTTCCGCACTCAAGAAATAGCGGGTAAAATGCCATTACTTATAATCATTCGAGTGATTACAAATGGTAGCGACCAATTGCGAACCTATGAATATCGCAATATTTAACTAACGTACAGATAGCAGGAGCCTAAAAGCCGCATTACGAAAATTCTGTTGCGCGTTATCTAAAACCAGTTTGAAACGGCGTATTAGAACTTAGGTTCCCCTTTCTATTATACGAGCAACACGATAATTTTTGGTTAAAAAAAAGTAAATCGATCCCGTCCGTGCACACCATTTACATACAAGTCTGTATTTCTGGGGTTTGCATTTTCATGACATTTAGAGAAAAAGACAGAAACGTGAAACTAAAATTATATGAACAAATCTCTCTCTCTCTATATGACAAAAATAGAACCAAAAAATCATATAAATAATTTTAGTTAATTTTAATATTCTAATTAAAATATTAAAATATATTTTTATACAATCTTAAACTTCTTTTATGTAAATTTAGTCTTTAATAAGATATTTGTTAAAAAATATTTGCAAAATATTTATATAAACTTTAAATTATATAATTCATTAAATTATAATATAATTCATCTTCATCTCTCTTTTTATATATTAAATAATGAAAGTTTAATTATTCTACTCACGTTAACAAAATAGTATATATTATACTTGATTAATAATTAATCGCTAAATTAATCGCTAATTAATTCGGATCATCAAAATTGCTTACGGCAAGATTTCGAGCTGCGTAATTCGTAATCAAATTTTTCTCCCCACGTGTTAAACAATAAAGAAATTAATGAATCTACCTATGTTAATAAAATAGTATTACTTGATAAGTTAATCAGACGATTTATATCCATGTCTACACTGAAAAAAAGATTGGCTG